CTTCCGATCTTCATTTTTTTTTATGTATGTCTTCTTTTTATCCACCGTTATGTATGTCTATAAAAATTTAACGTGAATAAATTTGGAAAATTCTTATGTATTATATTTTTTTAGTATTTATCTAAAATTATATATTTATAAAAATATCACCATTTTTTTAAATTACGACATACAATTTAATAGTGGGCATTTTATTTTATTATATAGGAATAAATCAAAGAGATAAGACTTTTGAAATTGAAGAGAAAATTATAGAATTAAACAAAATATGTGTGTTTTTTATTTAACGATATAATATTTGATAAGAATAAGAATAGACGAAGAAAAAGTGAGATTTTGGTAAAGATAAAGTTGAAAGTAAACAATTTGAGATAGTAAAAAAGTAAGGGAAAATTGTAACTTGGAAAAATAATTTAAAAGTTATTTATTTTATAAGCATTTCAGATTTGGAGAAAAATAAAAATAATGTGTATAGAAAATTTTAAAATAATTATCAATTTAAGATTTTTTATTGTAATTTTTTTTTATATATCTAAAAATTATAATGATAACAACAAAATTTAAATATAGATCCTATATTATTTCAACTCCTCCTTATTAAACTGGTCTGAGTAGTTCTTTTAAAAAATATAATTTTTTAAAAATAATCTATTATATTATTCGAAAGGAAAGAAGAAGAAGTTGAAGAAAATTCTATGAAAATTCCTGAACAGTTAATTTTATTGGAAAACCCATAGTTTATCATTTAACATGAAACAGTAATTGTGCGTGTGCCATGCACCGATTTATGGGCGGGCAGAATAATATAATTAAGATTTAAACATGTGCGTGAAGAATATAATTTTTTATTTGAATGATTTATTTTCTTTACTAATGCAAAGATTTGCAAAACATAAAAATTATAAATATATGCAAAATAATCATGATAAAAATATATATATGCAAAATTGTAAATCATAGAAAGAAAAGAAAGAAAGAAAAAAAGCAAAAAACCATGGAAAGGAAACATTTTTTTTAAAGGATGAAAAGAAAACATAAATAATATCGCTAATCACTTTATTTAGGGGGTCAACTGATAAAAAAATTATATATTTATTTTTCTTACATAACTGTTATATTTGCACTCTTTAAATTTTGAAGTTTAGGGTTTACTTTACCTTAAAATAGTAAAGAACTTTAGAATGTTAATCTTAATATTTAGGCTAAAGGAATGAAGGAGGAGAGAGAGAAGAAACAGAGTCTAATTAATTGATACGAAAAAAAAGAAGATTTTTCGTCTAATTTAAAAGATGAAATAAGAATCGAAAGGATTATAAAAATAAAATTGTAAAATAAAAATAAAATTAAACATTAAAATTGATTCAACTAAATGAAATAATTATCATCCACATTTAATGTATATATCAGTTACAATTGAATATAAACATTTCTAGGTCCTAAATATCACTCTTAATGGATTTTTTTAAGTGAAAACTTTTAATTTTAATATATTATAAAACTTTCAATAGTTATTATTTAATATAATTAATATTTTATTGCACCATCATAATATATATA